GCGTTTCCATCAGGAAGCCTAACTAAGAGTAAACCAATACCAGAACCCACTACCGTCTTGGTATCAAAGTCGCATGATGATGAATCTCCCTCTGATCCACAAGGACGGCGACTGCCTGTCTTGGTGACGACTTGGGGCAGACTTTGGCCAGCTGTCCTCGGGATTCCGGGGAACCACAATGGCTTAACCACTAAATTTCCGAAAATGGTGATTATGCTGGGGCCCTCAAAACTAGTGATGACGGGCCGTTCAAGTATCAAGGATCAAGTACCTGAGTTTAGTAAAAGGGTAACCACTGTGAATTCCACTGAAAAGAACAGTAAACAATCAGGAATTGAGTAGTTATAATGGATACTCACTACAGGTAAATTTTAGCCCTTTATGGCTCTGGTCAAGTAGTATTAGCATTTGGATCAACAACGCTTTTCCTGTTTTCCTCCTTTCTTTTTCAGTTTTCACCATCTACCCCTACCGGTTTACCCGGGAGGATTACGCGCTCTACGGCGACGCTGGTATGGTTCACTTGGGCATAGCGTCATTAGAACTGTTAACACTTGTAACCTCACATTAGATGCTCTCTTGAAGATTATTAGTAGCTGTTTACTTATGAGAATTTCTTCGGCTGAGAGTGGTTGAGAATCCACCTTCTATCTTGGATTCTCCCTGTCTGCGAACTTTCTTTGAAAACGCTGTCCTCTCTTCCATTATAAATGTTCTTCTTCCTGATCATTTCGTTTTCTGTTCTGTTTTTAGTTAGTGTGGTGTATGAGGGCGAAGCTCTGCTTTTCCAGCTCTTACGGGCTCATCAACAACAACGTCCGTCTCTTTGGTGCTGGCGAGACAAGGGGACGGAGCGTGACTATGGTATCCCTCGGCGGTGAAAGCGCTTTTCCTCCTGGCTCCACTGTTCATTTCAAGACTGCTCTCGGTGCCTCACTACAAGCTCAGGTCGTCTGCTTCGACCCAGCGCTTAAGGTATGTTTTCATTTTTGATGAGATCACGCTCAGGCAGTTCTATGTTTCTTTCACAGTTGGTTGATCTTTGTAGTGTTGAGTAAAGTCCCACTTATCTGGTATAAATAGCAGTACTTGATAATATACTGGAGATGTCATCTTCACCAGTTGGGCATTTTCGAACACAATCTTTATCGACTTTATGTAATAACCATCACTGCTCTTGGAAATTTCCCCAGTGACGTTCTTATTTCATGCTAGTGTAAGTGTTATGAGGCAGATTTTGGCTACGCTGACCTCGGGACTCCAGGCAGCAGTAATAGCTAAACCACCAAAACTCTGAAGAAAAGGAGGTTTTACTGGGGCCCGTACATCCAGTGATTACAGGCCATCAAAAAAGTGTTACATCAAAGACTGTTAATATGGTTGATACACTCTATAATCATCATCGAACAATCTAGTAACCTCCAACTTATCTGATTTGTGCTCTTTAGCTCTCACTTATTATGCGTACCTTAGGAAGTGCGATTTTTTCATCAGCTAGAGGTGTTCCCATATCAAATAGGAAGCAAGGGGAAATGAAAAACATTAATTTTAGTGTTGCATAGGAATGTACTTAGTTATACTGAGCTTTCTTTCCTCTATAAAGCATAAAACTATTAAGAATATCTTGACATCATTGTGATCGTATTTCACATAATACCTTGCTGTGAAAGATTGTAGTAGGCAGTAAATGAAAAAGTTGTTACTGTAATGATGCTGGGAAATTTGAAAACTTCGGACCGTTGGTGTTTGCGGTGAGGAACGAACGTGCTATTACCTTTTCCGGGAGCTAACTCCTTCACCACCACACCCTGCGAGTCCTTCGTTTCACCGTTCTCTCATCCTCAGCCTTTTCAAAAAAGTTATTATTGTGATTTCAACTGTATTCCCATCTTAACTGTGTTCAGTTCCGATTTGGGCTCCCGTGATCAGTCTCGCTGACGTTTCAGTGCTGATGGCAGTGGTAGATTGCAAACTACCTGAGAGAAACACGAAGCAGAGGGCACTCATGGTGTGGTAGTGAACGCCTTAGCTCCCGGAAAAGGTAATAGCGTGTTTGATCCCAACCGCAGACACCTGCGGCCCGGAGTTTTACGAATATCCCCGCATCATTGTGGTTGCAAAACTAGAGTTATGAGTTTTTACTAAGGTTTTTCTATCAAGTAACGGTTTGCCGTTTAGGAGCTGCAGATCATCCTTCAGTTCTTAATGACTATGTTTTTTATAGTATTTCCGTAGTTTTTCATTACCTGTATTATGACGCTTATTTATCAACTTCTTTCGTAGTGTTCAACCACAGCGAGACTCAGGTACATCAACTTACCTTTGTTCTGCCTTGTAGTTGAACTGTTTTAGGTTCTTGCCGTGCGTGATACATCAGGTGGAAAACCTATTTTGCGTATGTTCAACATAGCACTCATCAGTGAGGTACTTTTTTCCTAGGTTAAATGCTTTTAAGGTCATTTCTCTTCTTGAATTCTTTGGTGTTTGAATTTCATAAATGTTAAATAACTATTTGCTGTGATATACATACATTTGTGTTCAATGCTTAATGAAGGATCTAGATAGGTGTGTTGCCGACCATTCTTAAGATTTGAGAATCTTCTATTTTACCTGGCCAATCAGATCTACTGAAACTATATGAAAACCAGAACAATTTCTTTTTCGGAGAATACATTGTTTTAGATAACGGAAATATCGGGTCCAGCCAATGGTGATTCATTAGAAACTATGTTTTCTCCAAGTTCAATGAGCAACCAGCAGGTATCGTTAGATTTTTGTTGTTTTCTCAACGTTTGTGCCATGGTGTGCACTAGAGTGCGTTGGGTCTAGGCTTAGTAACAGTTGATCATTGTGGATAATGTCAGCACCGTTATTGTAATTATGTTTTCGTATTATGTTTGACAGGAAACAGTAGGTGTGTTAGTAGAAGACTTGGATAGTCAATCTCCTTAAGAATGTTGACCTTGCGAGTTTTATTAATCCCTAGAGGGGAAATTCTAAGAAAAAGATGGTGATTTTATGCATAGCTGAACTGTTGACGGACAGTTGGGTATTTATACTTTTTAAGCGCAAACGAGAGTTCGATTTTTCAATCTCTAGTATTTTTGGTCATTCGAAACTTAAAAGGTTTCGCGGCTTTTCGCTAACGTACTGCAGATCTAATGGTCTTGTTATCTTAAGACTGACTTCCATTCGTTAAAACCCTATTGTTACTATTTCATATTCTGTACGATGTGCTTATGAATGGAGCGGTCATAATTCATTTTGGACCATCTAGTCTTGTTAGAGTCGTTTTTTGTAGGAGTAAATATTCTTATAGAAATTCCATCATAAAAGTCCTCTCAAGTTTCATAAAGTTAGAAACTGAGGTTATATTGTACGCAGATCTCTTCCGGAGGCCAAAACTTCTTTCAATTTGCTACATTTTTGTTTAGTACACTCGAAGTTGTTGTTATATATAACTTATACACATTAGCTATCGTTTCGGTGGATTTCACCTTCTTCAGAGCATGAAAAGGTCAAGTTAACTGCGCCCTGGTCGGCCAAACACTTCTATAACATCACGAAAAGCCACCATGCCGAAATTTCAATCGCATTGAAGCCAAAACAGCTTCCCCGCACACTAATCGTTTTCGTTGAGCCGTCCACTGAGTATTCCACATGGGGACCAACTCTGTAGAGCTCACACGGTTGAGTAATGAGAACTTCTCTTGCGTCAAAATATTCAGAGTTACCATGTGAGATTCCATGTTATAACGAAGCGTTTTTTCTCCAGTTCGTTTTTGGATTCTTGGTATTTGTCTATGTATTTCACATGTATCTATTATAAAAAATATATAGAATGCTTCTAGAGTTTCATGCGCTGAAGTTTTAGATTCCTATCCTTTGCTGCGATGGTCACCTGTACTTCCGAATCTTCCACGTTATGTGTCTGTATCCTATGCGTGCATAGAGTGGGGTGTGGGGCAGCCACTGGCACAAGGCCTTGCTGCTGCCTTTATGCCTAGAATTGAAGCACAGTGGTTGATCTTCGGCCATCACTCTGCTGTAGATATATAGGTGATTGTTTCGTCATTTGCTCGCCACAAGAGGAGATGGACAATTGTTTTGAGTTCTTGAACGAGCGGTCGGAGCACATTAAGTTTATCCGAGAGAAAATTGGTTTCCATTTCTGGACGTTTAAAACAACCCACGCGAAAACAACGACATCGCCAAATGGTATTTAAAGCCAAGGACAAAAACATTCCGGTTCACTAACTGTCGTCTCACTTCTCAACCAAAAAGGGCGCTTATGAGAAACATGTTTCCAACGGCCACTAGTGTTTGCATGAGAGGAAGAAGAAGAAAGAACCCTTGAAACTACCGTGACAAAATGTCATTTACAATAACAACGAAAGGACAGTTTCTCGGAATATGTTTAGAGGAAGAGTCACGCACCCAGACCACATGTATAGTGAGAATCGAATCCCGTTTATCCTGCCTTTCACTTCCAACGAAGTAAACAGCGCTGCAAAACGTTGCTTATAAAGGGCCGATCAAGAGAAATCGGTAGCAGTGATTTTAATGCTATCGAGTACTCTAAGATGCTAGCTAATTCGTATCCGTCTGTATGACCGTCTATGAGCAAGGGTAGGAAATTGCATAATTTGCCCTAATGGTAGAGACCGTGACTGCGAATTCGGGTGCGGTGTACGTGATTTCTTGTAAAGCGCTCGGGACGAATGTTGGCGAAACGCATAAACCACTGCATATCTGTATAGAAGAACATCTAGTGAGTAAACATAAGGTTAAATCCAATACTCCACTATGTGCGCATATGACACATGTACATAAAGAGGAAGATTTTGATGTAGAATTGACCATTATAACACAGAAATAAGCATTCTGAATGAATTCCAGGAATCCAACAATGAACCGCACAGTGGTAAGCTTTGTTATCACGAGTGATCTCACACAGTATTTTATGCTGATATTTTGACGTGTGAGAGCCACATTACCCATTCATGCGGACTCTTTACCGTTAGTCTCCACGTGGAATACTCAAGTGGGAGACTCATAGAAAATGATAAATACGTGAAAAAGCTGTTTCTTTTTTTTCAGTGCGATTGGAAATTAAGTATCGTGGTTTTCTGTTGAGGTAGTGAAGATCTTTGGCCGACTAGATTGCAGTTAACTGAACTTTTCCAGGTTTTGAAGAAGGCGAAATCCGTTGAAATGTTAGCTGTTGTGAATAGACTCCATATGTGCTTTTCAAGAAAATAGCGAATTATTTATTAATGTCTAGGTTAATAGGAAGTCTTGGGAATTACTTTCTCCAGTGTTTTCTTTGCTTTGCAACCGTTATCCGTTGAGGTGGTTGGTTTCGTATTGCAGATTTCCTAGTAGGTTGAAAATTTGTTCTCTTTCCTCTGTACTGACATGTAAGATGTTTTCGAGCCCTGATTTTTTGCTGAAATCCGACGATAGCTTTGATATCATGTTCCGAAGTCATCATAAACAGGCTACGACTGGTGGTGATCAAAGCGAGGTTTGCTACCTTAGCATACTCTTACGCCGGCAAGGATACCTTCTGCAGGACATGTGAAAGCAGCTCTTTGGAAAACAAATTCGATTCGTTTGAAATCCTCCTCAGAGCAGAAAATACTCTTTTATTTTAAGGTATCCGATCGAAGTGCAGTTGCTGAAAGTCGGCGTTGTGTCGAAGCAATGGAAGTTGACGTGACCATAGAAGGTCAGCGTGCGTTCATCCAGCTGCGACGAACTCTTGATGATGTTCGCTGGAGAGGCGAAAACATCTCTGTTCTGGGACGTGTTATTGTCCGCCCACCGTATACGCCTGAAAGCGCTGATGCACTGCAGGTTTGTTATAAATCTTTTTGAGTTCGATTTTAGTTGATCTGTTTCAAAATTAGTTCAATGTGGATGCACAAAACCAGTTCGGTGATGACTGGATATTCGTTTCCTCGAAATAGCCCAAGGGTGCTTTGTTTAGGAGGCTGATTCACAAGCGCAGTCGGCATTGATGCACGTTCGTAAAATACTATCGAAACCGTTTATTCCGGAACAGAGACTGACCGCTTGCTGTGTTGCGCACGAAGACAACGGTGGTCTATAGATGGCTTGGTTTTTATGGATAGAATAAATACGTCTTCCAGAAATTCTGTATGCTCGTTTGTTCACGTGTAACGCCTACGTGCCACGAATGGACTGTTTAATAAGTGTAATGTATCGGTATATGCCGACAACAGTAATTATTTTTATCATATTTAGAGTTAGGTGATGGTTCATAGGCTTTTCTATTGGTGGTGCAGGTCTCTCTAGTCCTATCCATCACCACACCTAATAATAATATCTCCTCACCTTTGTCTACAGTATACTCTGTTATATCGCAACCATAGGCGAGCGCAGCCTTTGTGATAAATTGTTCTCATAGGTTGTAGCGTCTTCTGCTTGGGGTGTCAAATTTGTCCTGCTGATTCAGCTACCGTGTTTATTGTTGCATTCATTTTCCGTCCTGTACCCATCCATCTCTCGCGTTTCTATGTTAACCTTATCTGCAATGTTGTTGATGTTGACGTTCTTGTGCGTCGGTTTGAGAGGTGAATTATAGCTATCTCAACGAAGTTGTGAAAGCTCATAGATCTTTATGGTTGTAGGTGTTTAATGTGATGCTTCTTCCATGTTTTCACATACAGCGCTCACTTCGAACACTGGATCGATTTTGTGAAGTGTTGTCTTTATTGGATAACATTGTTTTCCTTAATGATAGTGGTTCCATAGAAGATTTTAGTTTACATGAGTTTCTGTATAATTTTACCATCTAAATAGGGGTGGCTTCCCACCACATGCCTTTTCTTATCACTTGATCTCGGAAAACTTCATGAAAAACTGGATCTCCGAGTGTAAAAGGTAAATTTGAAGACGTGGAAGGAGTATAGCTCTGCATCCGTGTTCGTTCTAGGTTCATTGTGAGATCTTATATTTTTGTGTTGTGCTGCCTCCCAACAGTTTATCACCTCGTCGTGGTGGGAGGTGTTCCTGGGTGTCGGACTGCGATGTACAGCGGGGAATTCGTACCCCCGGCAGGGTCTCCCAAGCTGAGAAGGAGTCCGGTGTTTTCACCAGGAAGCCTAGCTAAGAGTAAAACAATACCAGGATCCGCCACCGTCCTGATATCAAAGTCGCATGATGATGAATCTCCCTTTGATCCACAAGGACTGCGACTGCCTGTCTTGGTGACGACCTGGGGCAGACTTTGACCAGCTGTCCTCGGGATTCCAGGGAACCACAATGGCTTACCAGTAAATCTCCGAAAATGGTGAATATGCTGGCGCCCTCAAAACTAGTGTTGACGGGCTGTTCAAGTGTTAAGTGTGTTGTACTAAGTACCACAAGGGCGCGTGTAGCGCAATGGTTGGAGGCGCCCTGCAACACACATGTGGTCGATTCTGCCTCCCCAGGCCCAAGCCCTCCATTCCTCCGGGGTCGGGAAATTGGTACCACACCTGTCTGGAAGGATGACAGTACTGGCTTGAATCTGTGGGGCACCGCGAGTCATTGTAAAGACAAGGTATGCATTTAATTACCTCCAACAATGCATGCTCAATGAAGTCGAATGCATGGCGCGTCCCTCAGGAGTTGACTAACTCCGAGAGCTTTATCCTCTTTAGAGCTTTTATGCAGTGCTAGTTTAGTACTACGTTCCCCAAGTTTTCAGATGCAATGACGGATTCTGATGACGACGTACCGTGTCTGCCTGCTGACACTATGGCAATTTTACAACAGATTAATGAAGAACGGTGGAAGCTTGGTGATGACGTTGATATTATAAAAGAAGATTGGCAGGCACGCGTTTTTTCCATTGACTTTTGAAATGACTGTGTTTCCCACTGACCAATCGAGCTTTTTAGCTCAGCCAATTCTGGTATTCCAAAGAAACAGCGCTGCAGCTTTGCCGTGAACTCAGTTATGCTGCGGGCAGTACTGGACGTATAGCTTGCATATCATGTCCGACAGTTGTCCAGTATTTTTTGGAAACGGACGTAGATGATTTTCATTAGAGCGCGTTTTTCTTTATCGATGAATTTTTAATTGTAGTTTATTCAGGAGAATGTTTTACGCAATGCTAAAGTGACATTGTTTGAATATGATCACCGCTTTGAGAGGAGATTCCCGCACCATTATGTGCCTTATGACTACAGGCGTCCCATCTCTGTTCCTCCCTGGTTCGAAGGTGTTTCTCGATTCGTTTATCCTTTTTTTTTGGTTGGAATGATATTTTGGGCATGACTCAAGTACAGATTTTTAGCTGTCTTCGACGTTGTCATTGCTGATCCCCCTTTTCTATCTGTCGAATGTTTGGAAAAAGTGACACAAACAGTCCGTTTTTTGGGGAAGGTTGATGCAAAGATCATCGTTTGCACAGGAGCTATCATGGAAGAGACGGTAACTTACTCACACTGTTAAGCGTTCTGTTTGAAAAGTGCAAAGGAATGGTAGAAGGAGCCAGTAAGGTCTTCCATTTCTACTCAACTACAAGGAGGCGTGTAGCGCGGTGGTTGGGGGCACCCTGCAACATACATGGGATCCATCCTGGCTCCCCAGGCCCACCAAGCTCTCCATCCATCCGGGATCGGCAAATTGGTACCAGACCTGTCTAAGAGAATGGCAGCAGCACTGGCTGGATACATCTGTGGGCCACCGAGAATCGTTGTAAAGACAAGATATGCATTTAATCACTTCCAACAATGCTCATTGAAGTCGAATGCATAGCGCGTACTTCAGAGATTGACCAACGCCGGGAGCTTTGTCCTTCTTACTCTAGTGTAGTGCTATGGTGTCGAGTAATAATTCGTTCAAGTGAATTTAAGTGCTTTGAGTACGCTTGCTGTTCCTCTCATTAGCCGGCTTTTAGGTCGGACGTCTTTTGGGTCTCTATCGTTTGAAGTTTGTACCTCGTCACGCTAGTGGTCTCTCTAACCAGTTTGCTTGCTTGGCAAACTATGAAACTAAATATCTGAATTCTTAGGCAATACATTCCCACAAGGAAGAGCTTGCAGAATTTGTAGAATACGAAAGTGCGCCTGGTGAAAAAGTTCCATTTTTAGTCATTGTCCCTAGATTGATCAATATAACTTCGTGATAAAACGATGCTTTTACCAAAGTTTTGAGATCTATCGGTAACTATGTCTAGAAACGCAATAGTGTGAAATTGTGACTTTTATAAGAACAAGTGGTTAATAAAGGCGGCCAATACTCAGCATATTTCTGGTTCAACACGATATGAAGAATATCACATTTTGTTGAAACATCATCAGATAGTGCCTTGGAAGTGAGCAAGGTTTGTTCATCAGCCAACCGTTTAGATGTTTTCTTTTTCAAAGCGCGAAAATGTGTTGTTTGGATACAACGAAAATGGTACTGAGATATCTGCAAAACTCGGGGCCGCAGGTGTCAGCGGTGGGGCATCGAACCTGCTATAACCGTTTCCAAGGGTTAACGCGTTCACCACGGCACTATGCTAGTCCTATGTTTCGCCTTTCTCTCAGCTGATTTTCTATCTCTCAGCAATCACTTCTCAACGGTCAACGTCTTTATGTTATTTGGATTATGTCTTTTTGTTCAATTTCAACACTGTTTTTCATTGATTCTGCACCGTTTAGTGTCAGTGGTTTCGTCGTGGATAAAGTATTGTCTGTTGTTAATCTGTCTTGTTTTTGTTCAATAAAAATATTTCTGCTGTGAAACTGTAATCATTAGGTCAAACGAGACACTGTATAAGAAAGAAAGAGTGGTTTCCATCTTTATTGCATCTATTTGAAGCAGGTAAATTTATTTCAGGTTCAACACTGATGTGACGATTTAAGCCAAGTCACGCAAACCTTTTGCACGCTGTTGCCTTGTATACTGTGTATACGCCAGTTTTATAGACTTTAGTCCACTACATTTAATTCATGGCTCCTGCTGGACAGGGTCTTATTTGGTCAGATGTCCTTCGTTGTGTTCTGTGCAACCAAGTGAGTTAATTTCATTGTTTAACTTCTTTACTTCCTATTCTTTTTTCCCCTCCCAACGGTTTGCCGCCATATAGTGGCTGGTAGGTGTTCCTGGGTATGTTTTGGTGTACAGCGGGGATTCATTCCCCTGGCAGGGCCTCCCAAGCTGAGAAGGAGTCCGGCGTTTCCATCAGGAAGGCTAGCTAAAAGTAAACCAGTACTGGGATGAACCGCCGTCCTGGTATCAAGCTACTCGCATAGTGGTAAATTTCCCTCTGATCCACAAAGACTGCGACTGATTGGTGGTGACGACGTGGACAGACTTTGGCCAAGCTGTCCTCTTGATGAAAAGGAACCGCAATGGCAGGACCAGCAAATGTCCGAAAAAATGGAGATTATGCTGGTGCATGCGCAAAGTAAGTAAATGTTGTTTTTCCAAGGCAAGGCATTGTGTGAACTGCAACCACATTGTTGGATGATTAACCTCTGCGGATTCGAAACCCAGCCGAAGTGTCTAGTTCTGCTCATTTCTCGATATCATTGAGTTGATTTAGTTTATAAATTCGGTGCTACTTTTCATTTAGTATTTCCAGCTTTTTGATAAAACTCGAGCTCCAGTTAATTTAACGTGTGGTCATGTGGTTTGTGTGAATTGTATACCGAAACTCATTGACAACAAATGTCCCGAAGATCAGGTTAGAAATCATTCTCGTATCTTAAATTATTCTTTAGTTTTTTTTTCTTTTCGGTTCTTTTTGTTTCTCTGAGTACTCTGATCGATGTCTTTGTCTTTACATTTTTCTAGTACGAGGGAAGATATCCTGTTTCAAGCTACCCCATTAATGCAGCACTTCTATCCATACTCACTGATAACACTGATGACATTGAAGACAGTCTTCCTCTGTGGGAATTGGAAAAAGTACCTAAGGTACGTCGAGGACCATCCATTTGACTTTAATTCCTCTATGTCTTAAATGATGTAGTCGGTAGCCATACTATGATGTAGTTGTTCTGACGGGGAAATATGTTACTGGACACCGAAAGATCTATACAGTTGATTTTCCTTTCTATTGCTTTTATTCATTGAGGAACTCGAATTGCTAATAAATAAGGTTTAGGTAAGCTTAAAAGGGAAAGAGGAGGGGTATGCCTAAGACTCATAGCAGCAATATGCCAACGAACAAAGGTGTTTATAAAGCCTCACTTTATATCATACGTTGAGTAAAGATAATCAAATGGCTCATCCTCACATGTCGTTCAGTTTGTAGCAGTTTTAATACTTGGTTCTTTTTCTTGCAACCAGCTGTCATCCATGGAAAAAGTTGAATTCTTCATATGTTTACTTAGGGTTTGACGTTCCATTTTTTTTTCTCATAAAAATGGCACATTCTGATTAAGCGTTTTCTCAGAAATCTTCCCATAACCGTGCTAAGGTATTCGTATGACTTAATGAATGGAAGAGTTCCTTGCTACAGCTTGACTTAGACTTCTAGAAAGGCAGCGATACCAGCGACTAATCTATTGACCAGTAGAGAAGGACGTATTGGGTTTAATCTACCAGATTCTTCGTTTTCTATGCTTATCGACACTGCTGATATGGATATTCAGTCTTACCTGATACATGGTGCCGGAATAACTTCTCCCAAGGAATCGCTGGGGCCACTCGGTTCACACTGTTACTTCAACATTTTCGGGATCACACCCAATTTTTCTTCACATGCGGTATGAACTGAACTGAAGGGATATTGTGCGTTCTAACTCATTCCTCCTGCAAGAAAAAGGAATATCAGGTACACTCCTTATTACATGATTCGTATAAAAGCGCAGAGAACCGCGGCACTACACTGCTTAACGTAGGGGGATGGATGGTTTGCTTCGAGCCGCGTAATCGAACTAATGGCCATGTGGTGGGAGGTATTGTAGAGCTTTGTAGAGCTGCTCCATCTTTGTACCACTGCTGAAAAATAAGGCTCGTACATTTTGCAGTTCGGTAACTATATAGATAATTTTTAGGCATTGAGACATGAACTTTTGTCGGACACATTGTTATTAGACATCAATTTAGATGTACTTGATCCATATAGGGTTGCGATTGTAACGTGAATGGCTGGAAACTTTTTATGATAATTCGTTCTGTAGCTGTGAATAGATATGATATTATGTCGCGCGTGTGAAACAGTGATCGGAGGCGCCGTGTAATACATATGGGATCGATCCCCACGCCCAAGGCTCACCAAGCCCTCCATCTCTCCTGAGTCGGCAGATTGGTGCTATATTTGTCTGGGAGGATAGTAGCACTAGCTTGGTGCATCAGTAGGGCAATCAGAGTCATTGTGAAGGCCAAGTATGCTTTCATTCACCTCCAACGATGTTTGATGAAGTTGAATTGATGGCGCATCCTTCAGAGATTGATCAACGCCGAGAGCTTTTTTAGCTTTATCATTATGTCTTGCAGTTTGTGATCGTTTTTTTATAGTAGTAGTAACGTATATTAGCCCCATCTGTTTTAAATTTTGCGCATTAGTTCCTAATTTTAAGACAAATTTTTCTACCAAAGTTCTAGACGCGGTAAGGTTTTTTACGCGATCCTATCCTTCTGTGGCTTATCCTTTTCATATATCTTCGTAGGACCAACTTTGTTGGGTCTTATTCATCTTGTCTTTTTTTTTCAGAATGTGTTGTGTTCAATTGAGAACGCTCTCGTAGCTATGACACGCTATCTGCGCCGAGCAGAGTCAGAAAAAGGGAATGCTGTATTCAGCGAGGTGGAGCAATTGTTAGAAGTTATTTGAAGTTATTCTTGTCACTCCTATTGCGCCATGAAATATTCAGGTATTATCGCGCACTTTGCAGCGCAAACTCGTGTCACTTATGTGTTTCCAATTTGTTGAGGAGGAAGGCCGTTCACGAGTTCTGAAAACTTCGAGATTGATAGCCGAAAGAATAATGATGGAGGTGTGATGACATACTTTTTTGTACTTTTTGTTCAGGAAAATGGATCAGTTTTTAGCTGTTGCTTAGTCAACAAAATTCCTGTAGTGTTAGCACACATCTTTGGACGGCTGTTCGCGCCAGAGGTTGCCAGTTTCTCGGGCCAGGTATTTCATGACGTATATTCAGTGCTTTATTTGTTAGGTCTAGTATAAAAATGTTTAGCAATGCAAGAGGATGTTCTGAAGTTAATTCTTCTTGCACTTAATAAAGGTGCACTGATAGCTCGGAAAGCATTAGTTATGTATGTGGTGCAAATACTAGCGGAAGATTATCCCCAAGTATGTCGGTCTACAATTTTATAAAATTTGTACTTCTCAGTTTCCTTCTCAATTTGGTAAATGTAAATTTACGTTATGCTGTTCAGGTTTCTAAAACGTGTGTTGGTCATGTTGTCCAACTTTTATATCGTGCTTCTTGTTTTAATGTATTGAAACGTGATGGAGAATCTTCCCTAATGCAACTAAAGGACGAATTCAGGAACTACGAATCTCTTAGAAAGGAGCATGATGCTCAAATTGTACAGGTTTGATATAATTGGAGTAAATGCCGTTAACATATGTTTAAATTATTGAGCATACACAAGGTTGTTAAGTATTCCTTATTCGGCAAACGTTTCGACGTTTTCATCTTCAACAGAATCGATGGTCTTAGTCGGTGCTCCAAAATTGTTCGTCTTCATGTTGGCTGGTCATAACATGTTTAAAGGAAAGTCGGTTTTTGAAATATTATTTTGCTCTGTACTACCTGATAACGATAGCGACTTCTGCAGGATGGATTGCCCGAAAAAGACAAGTCGTCATCACCGAACAATCACTATTATCAACAACCAGGATCCTGTATAAAGAGCTTCGCCGGGTGATTATGCCCCATTTAAGAGGTCCTCCACTGAGGAAGATCCTTCTCGGCACGAAGATGAAGATGTCACATCGAGAAGACGAACAACAGTGGACCATCGATTCGGATCATCGGCTCTGAAGAAGACGAAGACGCCGAGACGTTAGCCGAATAAAGATTACTTGTCAACCCCGTGTAAGCTCATCAATTTAAACACCTGTTGATTTGTCATGCGGAGGTTAAAGGAAAGTCGGTTTTTTGAAATAGTATATGCCACTAGTAAATCAATGCGTTGTTTCTCCTTAGTTCATTAATAGAAAGGGTTATAGATGGCGCTTGAGTGTGGTCTTCGAATCAGCCCTGATCAGTGGAGCGCGTTGTTGTACGGTGATCAGTCTCATCGATCACATATGCAATCCATAATAGGTTAGCTGTTATTTCGGTTACTGGATTTGTGCTATGAGGATTATTTTTCAAAATTCTTCTCAGATCGACTGCAGACCCCTAAGTCATACATGCAAGATGTGGACGAGCTCATTTCAGTTTCAAATGAAACAGATTCAATGACTACCGCATGTGATTTAGCGCAAATAACGCAGCTTCTTCGCCATTTTGATTCGCTTTCAATTCATCATGGTATTGTTGGATGAGTCGAACATTTTACTGTATTTTTGAAATTTTTTAAATAACGGCTTTGTCGTACAGAACGCGTAAGTTGGCAACGATTCGCGGAGTACATTGGCGCTTTATACAAGCTTATAAAGTCACATGCCGAATTAGGAATAAAGCGGTTGGTTTAGTTTTTCAGTTTAGAGTAGACAAGAATTGTCTAATCGAAGAACTGTAGAAATGAACAATGTGTTTGCAAAGGACGGCGTCCTTCGTTACTACGCCCTATTGCTCATTTAAAGTCTGCAGTAGTTTACAAAGCCTACACGTACAAGACGAAGATGTGCAGGTGGGTTTAGTAACTTTTTACTATACGTCTATCACCCGAATATTTTGACTTCAGGGATATTTCTGCCCGTCGTTTGTGTCCACGTGGGGCACGATGCACTTACGCTCATAGCACTGCAGAGCTTCGTAACGGATCCCGAAGGAATGTCACATCTTGCTTCCAGGTGTGCACAGTACATTTGCCATTGGCAAACGTTTTTATGTTTTTCTCTGTTACCGTAATATTTGATGGCGCTATATCTTATTTTCAGTTTATTTAGCAATCTAATAACGGCCACTTAGCGACACAGCGTGTAATGGTTCCATCAGCTATATATCCAACTGGTATAAATGGGAGTGAGTTTCTTCTTATTTGACAGTTTATATATTGAAGTTTCATTGTTTGTTGGTGCGAATTCTGAACTTACAGCTTACCACATTGATTCGTCACTTACATCAGTTACACCACCTTCCCTTACTCATCCGACCATAGTGCCAATCGTTCCTGTTCCGCTAATGATTTCGCCACATGCACACCACTCCATGTCCCAAGTTCCTTCTACTCATGCAAGTCCTCAAGTGGTTATGGTAAATATTCCGGTCATTTCAACTTTTTGAATTATAATGTCTAAGAATCCTAGCTATAATTTTCTGGTTTATCATTCTTTTTTGAATTGAAATGTTTTTAAAGTTGCCTCCTGGGATATCTCATCAAGGAATGGTTCTGAGCAACCCGAGACCTTATCCACAATCTTCTGGTGCTTTTCACTTATCACCTCAACCATCTTCGTTATGTAACACACATCCGCCTGGCGTTCCTGATGCTGTGCTCGTTCACCATTTGAATTCTCCGCCCAGTCAATCACCTCATCAAATTTGGGTGCATACGTGAGTTCTGTTCTTTTTTTGTAGCAAATATATCAAGAGACGTATACTTACGTTATTCTCGTAGGTCTCCAGCGGTATATTCCTTTGATACAACACCTGATAATGGCTTTGTGTGGTCAAGTCCATGCAGACCCGAATTGACTGTTCCACCTCCTTCAGTGCAGTCATCTCGACTTGGCGATCAGTCACTCGATACTGAGCAACTGATGATGAAACGGAACGAAGTCATAAAGTACTTGATTTTTCTATAAGTATTACAACATTATACTATCTTTCATTTCAAACTTCTTTCTAGTCGCTTTGTTCCTCTAACATTGCTGGACGAAGATGAGTTTGAAGATGGTGGTGTTGGTCACGTATCTTATACAGTCGCTTCATCGGTCTTGGATGAAAGGTACAGCTCATCTTTTTTCAGGTTGTGCAATTGTTCTCTGGCGAATAGCAAGATACCATATAAACTCAAAATCCTTGTTGTTTTTTGCTAATGAACACCTATTGTATAGTGGTTAGAAATGCTCTCCAGTGCACAAATAGTTTTTAATTCGATTCTATGTTTGTGGTCGACGAAACCCTATCCTCATGACCCTCCATGGTCGGTGATTTTGTATTAGAATTTCCTGAGACGACAAAAACATTTGCTTGATAACTCGAAAGACCGACTTTCTGTAAACTTCGGCATAGATAGTTGATATATTTATTTATGTGATCTTATAAACTGATCTTCTTAAGCTGATGCGAGGTTGTTACAGATCTTCTTTGTCGTTGTCGTTGTTTTTGATGTTATTGATCGATGGCTGACGTTTCGGCGACTTCGCCTTCCTCAGAGCCGTGATGTTACGTGCGGGAGTCCCGCTTGAATAATAAAAAGTATTCTAACATAAAATACGTCGAGGCTCTGAGGAAGGCGAAGTCGCCGAAACGTCAGCCATCGATCAATAACATCAAAAACAACGACAACGAAGATCTGTACCAACCTCGCGTCAGCTTAAGAAGATCAGTTTATAAGATCACATAAATAAATATTTGCTTGATACATCGGAAGGCACCCCATTGTAATTTCATACAGCAGATATGCGTTCATTCATTTCTGTGGTGTTCGATGCAGTGAAATACACCTCGCATCCATCAGGGATTAATCAATCGAACACGTTATCCTTTATCCTTCATCGCGTTTCCCTATTTCTAGAGGAGAACTCCATCCTGTGGCATTAATGGTTGGTCCACAAGCATTGGAACTGCCTCCAATACCTGCAGCAAACCTATCCACTATACCTCTGCCCACAACAGTGGCGGACGGAACGGTGTAAGTTTCTTTCTCCCAAATGTTTTTTGATCGTGTGCCCTAGGTTTCATAAATTGAACGTATTAAAATTGTATTAGTGCTGCCATACATTGAATATTGTTTTGCCGTAGTCCTATTTATCTTTTTATATCTTTAAACATAAGTGGTACATTCTACAATTTGCTCTTCAGAACAATGATTGGTGATATCGCTTTATCCACGGGGCCTCGTCCTCGTGCACCTAGCGTTCCATTGGTGCAGCTTACCAGTGTGGTCACTGCGAGTCCCACAAGCCTCCTCTCAAGTGAAAGTGCTGCATCGGATACCGTGCAATCCGATTCTGTCACTTTGCAGATCAAAGACATCCAAAGTCGGCCGCTCCCAAGGCCAGTTTCACAGAGGAGTCAAGGTTTTGTCATAGGATGTATTAGCTTTTCGTTTTTCCTTAACACAATGACCAACATGCATTAAGTACAATACGTGAGATGTGGAAATTTTAACTAGCTTCAACTTTAAACACTCACACCTCTCAGTTGACATTGAACTTCATTAACTGAAATGAAAACTACAATAATGCTGAGATATTTACAAAACTCCGGATCTCAGGTGTCTGCGGTGGGGAATGAGCGCGCTGTTACCCTTTCCAAGGACTAACACGCTCACCACCACACCATGCGGGTCCTTCGTTTTGCCTGTCTCTTACCTAATTCTATCGACCAATGCCATCAGCAATCACCCGTCAGCAGGATTGACATAAGGAGTCTACATCGGCATTGAACCCAGTTAAGCTGAGGCTGTAGTTGAAATCACAATGTTAACTTTTCATTTGCTGTCAAGTACAATTTTCACGGTAGGAGATTATGCGAAATACAACCACAATGATGCAAATATCTCAGCATCATTGAAGTGAAAACTTATAATTTGCACATCAGGATTCCGCAAGGTACAAGTTCTCCAGTTCTACCAGAATAGAACTGATTTTCTGGTGCTGACGGAACCCATTTCTTAGCTTTTTTTGTCATATCTCATACTTCGAAGCGAAAGCAGTTGAACAATCGACAACTGCTGTCGCGCTTGCATTGGAAATTTGGGTTCCAGCACCACTTTTTGGCTCTTATTTAGTTGAATTCAGTCCTAGACATGTTTTACTTCAAAGAAAACCTTACAAAAGTACAATTAAAGAGATAGAGAATAGTCTTCTATAAACCTGTGATGTTCACGACGCAAATACTCTAGTGATCGGGGAACTGCAGTCATTATTCGAAGGACGAGATTCGGACGTTATGTGTTAATCCGTTATCGGCTGAATCTTATCCTTAAACTAAGGCAATTTTCGTTGTTCGTTTAACGTCTTTAAATAACTATTTGTGCAGTTCTGCAGTGATTATCTTTCATAACGCGTGATTCTAAAAAGGTTCTAGGTTTCCCAATTTTTTCTTTTAGTAGTTGCTCCAGTGCAAGTGTGTGCTGTTCCTGTAACTTTTGGCACCAGTATGATGAGGGAAGAAGTAAGTACTGTTATTCGACCTGTAATGTTTGCACATCGACAGGATATGATGTCAACCAGTTTGGATGAAAAAGTCGACGTAAAAGGGAGACTAAACGAGGCCGATAGGTAGTTTCTTTTCAGTTTTGTTACTAAATATGCTTTTTTCAAATTTCAAGTATGATTCCTCTTACATCTCTATGCTATTCCTTCTTGTCTTAACTCTTTCATCATTTTTTAACTTATTACTTACTGCCTACTCTTTATAACGGGTGGATATATATTGCAAAATATAACTTTATTGATGTTGAGATATTTGCAAAACTCCGAACCACAGGTGTCTGCGGTGGGGAACGAACGCGCTATTATCCTTTCCGGAGAGTAACGCGAACGCGTTCACCACCACACCATGCGGGTCCTTTGTTTCGCCTGTCTCTCAGCTAGTTCTGCCGTTTTAGTTCTATTAAAGTTATCTTTCATCATTGCAAAAACTCAGGAGTTCCGTGGACAGCCGTTAATGGACATCTGCTTCTTGAGCTTCATGTAGCTGAACGGCAAGTGGATCTTCTGGATCCGCATACCCAGGTATAGCATTGTTTTGTTTGTTTTTATGAAATAAATCTATCTGCATTTGAAACTAGATTTAATAGCGAGTACTAATTTAAATAAGCTGTTATTTATGTGCCTCGAAATTGATATTCACATTGGCATGTTCGCCAGCAAAATTTTTACGCAGTATCCGTCTAATTTTAATTATATTTAACACTTTTGCACCAATGCTAATTTTGTGCGGCCGGCCCACCGGCCCTCAGTGAAACACGATCGGAAGCGCATCGGACTCCATGTGTATGGTCCATGAACTTGCCCAGGACCACCGCGCAACAGTTTTTTGTGGTTTTCGTTCTATTACTGGGTTATTTTCTGTATTTCACATGTGTTTCCAAGTTCGATGCATCCACTTTGTTCTTTCGTGTGTGTTTCCATGTTCTTGAACTCGTCCTACTAAAGAGAACTGCTGTGCGATAAATTGCTCGCCGTGTGTGTGTGAATGTGTGTGTGTCTTTGTAGACGACGGACAGCAAGCAGATTGCTCGATAGTTGCCGATATCGTGGAGGTCGCTCTTCTTGAACATTAGCACGGTCTTGCTGGTCTTCTATTGAGTAGGGACCTTGCATTCTGGGAGGTAATGTGTGAAGAGCTGAGCCAGTGTCTTAACGAGGACTGACGGAAGGTCCTTCAGGTATTCCGGTGTTATGCTGTCCGGGCCCGGTGCTGTTCGATTTTTCACCGACGAAATGGTATGTCGGATTTCGGAAGGGAGAACCTGTGGTACAGCATATATCCATCATCCTTTATTTGATACGACGGAAGGTGGACATGGGTACCGAAGAGATCTGAACAGTGTTGGTGAATGACTTTCTCCACTGCCTTTCTAAATGTTGTAACTGTTCCGTCTGGGCGTCGGAGTGCCATCGTCTTGGTTTTGTAATTGGCGAAGCTTCGGCGGGCTTTGTGAATGCTTTTCCCAGCCTCTGCAAATTCGACCGTTACTACTGTTTTTCTCTCTTTAAGATCTTCTTTTATCGCCTGTCTACACTGTTTTGCAAATTCGGACATTAGTTCATGGTTGCCTGCAGCTCGTGCGATTCCACGCTGGTTCGTTAGCTCGAGTGTTTCTGGAGACAGACGTCTCTGGGTGACTTCCAAAGTCTCAGCCTTCACGGCGCTAAAGTGAAGGTGTTGGATGAATCGATCGCACTCTTTATCGATGTTATCGACAACGACATCTCCTCAATAGCCGACTAATGAGTTGAATAAGTCCCAATTCGTAGAGGTTTTGGGACTTCGTTTTTTCAATTTAGCCGATTTTTTCCGCGAGAAATGGAACCTTGCACGAAGGAGGCGGTGGTCTGAGCCTGTGTAGAATTTTGGGACGACAGCGACATCGGTTAGACAGAACCTCCTATTTACTATGATGAGATCTATCTATTTCGTTACGGTACTCTCCATTTGGAGGTTCCTACTTCCCGCGTTAACGGTGAGGCTTTTGGAATTGTGAATTACCATGGATGGTCCTGGTAATCATGATAAACTCAGACAGCCGCTCACCCTGTTCGTTCCATTCTAATTCGTGGGTCTCAATGCGACGTTCTTCAGAAGTTCATCTTGCTCCAGTCTTGGTTTTAAAATTTCCAATGCTGACTTCGAAAAATTTATGATCTTCTCTGTAGAACTTCTCCAAGTCCATATAGAACGCTTCGACTTCTTCTTCGTCATAGTTTGATGTTGGCACGTAAACGACAAAGACTGTCAAAGCCGGTATTGGTTCACATATTGTTAATCGTAAACGTCCGATTCGGTTTGTTACTTGTTCGAATGAATCGGTTTTAATGAACAAACTGGTGTTGACGAGAGCGCGGACGCCCCCGACTCCTCTACTGTCGAATGTTTCGAGGAACAGTTCTCCTCCGGTGTCATAGACGGCGTTGAATGGGTGGCATCGTTTCGTCCCTGCCTGGCCGATGATGTAGTATCTTATTCTTCTTACTTGCATGAGCAAGTCTTCTATCGAGGACTCTGATGTAAGTGTACGTGCAGCATTGTAGATGCAGATCGTTACCATAATTCTACGTGATCCAGACAGCTTCCATTGGCCCTAGGATTTTACCACCCTCTCCGCACTCGTCTTACCCAACCCTGCCGAATTGAGGGCTCTTTCGGGGTCAGAGGAATGAGGCCCATTTCTTTTACTGTGTTTAGCATTTTTGATACCCACGTATAGCTTGCTGGGCTCTGAACGTGGTGGCTGGGTATACTCACGGGTAGCTTGCCACGCTCTCCCAGAGTGGACATGGAGCTTATTTGTTGGAGGCGACTCCTATCCGCTTCCCATATATTTTCCTATCTCTTGATTGCAGGCTTTTGGCTGAATTGACTCGTAGAATACAATCCGCATAAGCGAGAACGCAGCCACACACGCATGCATGAATACGCTTAGAAAATACAGAAAGCATATGCCAAATCGGCGCAGCAGAAACAGGGAGTGCATCCTTTCGGTCCACCTGCCTTGCAGGGAAACGTACAGTGGCATTTAGTCCGCGATTAACCCACTATCCACCACCTCGGGACGCGCCACGTAGCCTCGCGACTAACCGGCTCGAGATTCCTCATATTAGGGTCCTCCGCATGGCATAGGCTCTAGAGCATCGTAATTTTATTGTGGTAAAACAAGAGAGCTTTCCTCTTATATGTTACACTCTAATGTAGGTTCTAATAATTTCTCGTCGGCATCGTGCTCGATTTTGATCATTTCCTTAAATGTATTACTTAACTGTCTTAATTGTTTATTTTTTCTGTTGAGCAAATGGAAGATGTTATTTCATTCTTTATTCACGAACAAGCTGACATTTCGGCGGATTTCGCCTTTCTTAGAGCCCTGGAAGGTCAAGTTGACCTCATGTATCCTGCCAAACACGTCCATACCAAAAACCAAACATAAGAAATGCTAAACCAACATTTCATTCACATTGAACACAGTGTGGCTTCTTTGCACATTCACCGCTTTCTATGGGTCTCCGACTGAATGTGTCACGTGGAGATCAAACGCAGAAAGTTCACATGGAAGCGTAATGTGCGTCTCACATTAAAATAAGTCTTAAACAATGTCTGATATCACGCGTGATTATGAGGCATTCCTTCCTGCAGTTCATTTTCGGGTTCTTGGAATGTACCCAGAATGCTTCGACAGTTTTTCGCGCTGGTGTTTTCAATTCCTGTGCGAAGATCGTAACCCCTACTTCAAAATCTTCCCCGTTACGTTTCTGTATCCTGTGCGTGCCTGCTGGAGTATTTCGTTCAACTTTAATTGTTGACTGTTATTTTAAAGTGACTGGCACATTACGATTCCTTGTGAGCTCTGTGCGATTAATCTCTACGTGACATATTTATTGGAAGACTCCTAGGAAGCGGTGAATGTGCAAAGAAGTTATTCTGTGTTCAGTGTGATTGAAGTCTTGGTTTAATATTTTCTGTTTGGTTATGGAAGTGTTTGGCTGGGTAGATTGCGGTCAACTTGACCTTACCAAGTTTTGAGAAAAGCTAAGTGCGCCGAAATCTTAGCTTGCTAGTAAATAAAGTAAAATAACACTTCGTATTTGCGCAACAAGAATGTAAAAAATTACTAGGTCAGTGCTGAGGTTAACAGAGAGTTGGTCATGGGAATTATTGCAAAACGTGTGTTGTTCTGTTGTCTGATTGTTTTTGTTTTAGTTCACATGCTATAGGCATCGTGTTTACTGTGAGAGCTCCGCTAGATGATTGGAGAGATGGAGGAAGTTGAGGTCTCTGGCCCATTTGAAAACTATTAACCCGATATCGAGATGCTGATCTCATAGTTCGTTCTTATTCTTAGTTTGTTGGAGCATATTGTTATATTATGGTGTTCTGGTTTGAAGTTTATTAAGATTTTATTTCGTGAAAACACGCGTAGCATTTCCGAAACCTGAGGTTTCACTTGTAAAGTTTGGCAACCTGGATCAAATTCCTTGTTAATCCTCCTGTCGTGTAGTAATTTGTCTGTGATCGTTACTAAACAGATTCTCATTTGGTCCTTATCGTAATCTATCTCGCGCTGAGTTTTTATTCCAGTTGAGTTGCTGTAGTTGTTTTGCAGCAGGTGTAAGTTCCAGTTTCGGTTGATGATTGAGGTTGATACCGTTTCGTATGCGTATAAAGTTTGGATTTAAAGCTGATATGTGTACTAAATTTCCAATGTTGCTCTCTAGATCATCACTTTACCTTGTTGAGAGCAAGTACAGTTATAGCAGTCATAGCCTTCTCGCCAATAGACCGACTCAGTTTGTGGACATCGAAATCGTTGAGGTAGCGAAGTCTACTATGAATGAGGTATCAACTGATTCCAATTCCATACAAATATCACCGGATGTTCATCAGTGAGTGGTCTTTTCTTGTGGCTAACTCAATTCTTCTAAATACTTCCATATATTATACCACTGGATTTTTCATTGTACTGGATCATATTGACGTATTTCGCAATGTTTCAGACCAAAATTGGACGCTGCGGAAAGGTTCACGCCAGAGATGTTGCAGTCGTGGGCATCGTATGATAGCCGAACGCCCGCCTATAAAGGTTTGTGTCTGAGAATGAAGTGCCTTTGCTTTACATCTGCACTTTTTATTGTGCATAGCTCAACTACATTTTCTCAAACTTGCTATTTACTTATTTCACTTTGGATAATTGAGCCACCCAGCATTCCAACCAGGCGGACGAAGAAGCTTCAGTTTCGCAATGTTTCCCTTGAAAAAACTCAGCCTTTCGAAATCGTTTGTAGTGATGATTAAACCTAAGATATCTAGTTTAACTTATTGGTATTTGGGTGAATCGTACATGCGTTTCACCAAAATTTGCCTACAGTTACATATGGTGGATTATCTTTAGATCGTGCAGAGCTTTTTTGCTACACTTTTTATGGTCATTAAATGTGCCTTGTGGTCATCGTTCGAGAAGAGCTCAATTCTGCATCTGGAAATGTATAAAGACCTTTCGAACGAGTTAATTAGCTGCTAATTT